TTTGAAATCAAAAAATATTTAGGGGGTGCTCAAAGCGCTCAAAGTTTTCCATGTATTTTATATGGAGAAAAAACCATTTTTCGTAGAAATGGTATAAAACTCTTAAAAATCAATATTTTTCAATTGGAAAACTGTGGTTCTCTTCAGGAGACTTCCAGTATTAATATCCAATTGTTTATTTAACATTTTTTATGATTAAAGATTTTTCCATTGCATTTTCTAGGGGTTTTGGAGGACCTATAAAATATAGTTACTATGAAAAAATGGTTAAAGAGACAATTGCGTATTATTACTGGGAATCGCCTGAAGATAAGAAAAGTTTGCCGATCGAAAACTGTTGATTTTCAAGAATTCTATACTATTTCTACGAAAAATTGTTTTTTCCCCATATAAAATACATGGAAAACTTTGAGCACTCCCTATTTTTAGTTTTTTTTTTCGATATAGAACAATCCTAGGGGGTGCCGGCATTAAAAATCCGACCTTTTTATTTTTACATACATTTTTGGACCACTTTAATGTATGTATGTGCATATGTATTAAAGTCCAGCGCAAGTGCATTTGCCGCATTTCGTTCAATAAGTGCTCCTTGCATTGTACTCTACTCCCGATACATTGTTACTCTTTTTCCGCATACATACACTACTTTGCGTTGAGGGAGTAAATACTTGACGTACTTGCTATTACTCCACCAAAGTCATCGTACAGTTCCATAAGTAAAGTAACTCTTCTTCTTACCGTTTTTTGTGGCAGGCTGTAGGTGTGATTTTGACATGCTCTAGGTGTGTTTTTGCTAGTGTATTGGTGTATTTACGTGGGAGTATTGGTGTGGTTGCTAGCCCAACTGACGTTAGAATGGGTTTTGTGAAGCAACTTCAGGGTTCTGTGAAGCTGTTGCATCATTTTTTGAAGTTTAAATTTTCGATCCGGGTTGTCGTGTTATACTTTTTTCAAGTTTCTATTCTTTAGATTTTTTGATTTGACATTGCAACTTAAACGCGAGTTGTGGCACAAATGAAATTTAAAACATGTTAAAAAAATTGAGTTTTACGAAAAATATTAGTTTAAAATTTGTTTTTTTTGTTATTTTTTTTTTTACCTTTATAACAATTATATTCAACAATTTATATTGAGCTTGAGGCCGTTTTAAATGAAAATTTTTATTGTGGAAAAGCAACTATAATGTGAAAAAATGGTAGAAGTGATAGCTATTTCGGAAATTACCACATTTCCTCATCAGACTTCTTTCAGTAGGATTCGAACCGACGATCCCACTGACTCAGCCAGTTGCCTATGCACCGTGCTAAGTACGCCTTGTAAATTATCGTTTGCTTTTTTCCACTATTTT